TTTTCCAAATTTTTTTCGGTCATATGCTTTGGATACGCATTTGTAAATCGAGAAAAATCGTCCTCAGGAAGTACGTCAGCAATAGAGTTAAACGGTCTGAAATGCGCAAAATGGACGTAGTTATTTTTGGGGAAATACCAATTTTGTCCACTTACGATGAATTTCCTGTGTTTTTTTATCTTTTCATAGCCTTTCTTTTGCAGATTAAATAAAATACTGAAGTGCTTGTCTGTAGTTTACATTAGAAGTTAGGGTAGTGAAAATTTTAATGTTGTATCTGAAATAGTAATGTTAAAATTTAGAAGATTCTATAGAACAAAAGTCATGTGAAATAGCAGCTTTGTAATCGAGATTTTTAACAGGTTTTGAAGTTACGAAAAAGAAATTAAAGCAAGACGGTAAAATTTCTTAAATTTATATTATATTTTATATTTTTTTGTAAGTATATTTTTTTGCTTGCGAAGGATCGCTGTCGTACCAGGCAATTTTTTTACAGCTTCAAAATTAATAAGCTCGGTATACCAAAAATTAGATGCTTTTGTAATTTCCGAATTTTTTAAAAATACAGCATTCGATTATGATATTTTTTATATGTAAGATTTACCTTCAAAAATGTTATTTTGGTAGTATTTAAAAAGAAGTATTTTTGAAAAAAAATTTTTTCACTGCGACTTTTTATTTATTCTCTTGATGTAAACATTTTAGCAATTTTCAGAAATTACAGGAGACAAGTTGATTAAAAAAAGGGTGTTGTGGATATTCTAAATTGGAACTTAAAAATGTCCGTGTCGAGTAGAGTTTTCATTTTATTTTTAATTTCAGTAAGGCGTAATTTTTTGTTGCTTTGATTTTTTTGGTAGGCTTGTCTTTTTTAAAATTTGATTCTAAAATTCTTATCTGAGTAATTTTTTGAAAAGAATTTGAAGTATCAACTGAAAAAAGTGCAGAGGTGGTCGCGGAACCGCCCATATATAAATTTTTCGCTTGGTGAACTGCCAAAATTGAAAGTCTAAACTTTAAGTAGGTAGCGCCCAAAAGAAAAAATTATATTTTTTTCAGTTTTCAAAATGGTTTAGCATTCGGGTTCAATTGCAGGTCGAAACTGAAGAAGTTCAAAAGCTGCAAGAGAAATTTCAGAATCATCTTTCAGAAATTGAAAAGAAAAGAAGTGATATTTGGGCACAAATTGAGATTGTAAATAGAGATTTAAAGGAGCAAGAAAATAAGGTATTACTTTCATGCAATGTTTTTTTTTTTCAAATGTGCAAAATGTCTGCTTTCAAAGTTAAAATGCTCAGTTAAAAATTTTGAAAAATTTGGCAATTTCTGAGGTTTCTTAACAATTTCACGATTTAATGCAGGCTGATAAGGCAAAAAAAGAATATTTGAAAATAAAGGATCTGGAGCAACAGGAGAAAATAAAAAACAATAAGAACAAGGAAAAAATGGAAAAAATTTTGCAAAGGTTATCAGAGGCTGAAAAAGAGGTAACTTCTCTTGACAACGAGGTAAAGGCTTATGAACATCACTGGGAAGAGCTTCAAGACGTGGTAAGAAATTTAGCAAAGACCTTTTTTGATATTTTTAGTTGATTGTCTTTAAAAACAATATTTGTTGACTGCGGCTTTTTACCTGTTAGTAGCAGTTTTTTAAAAAGGTATTCGTTTCTGGTAACTTTCTCGGTAACTAGTATTTTTTTCTTTTTTTTTTTTTGGTAATTGTGGACATGTACGATTTATTTATGGGAAAAATTTTCAACAAAGTTACCCCCTGTTTAAACTTGAAGTTGTTGAACAGCGGCAGTAAAACTGATGAGTGAATTTTATCAGAACTTTTTTGCATTTGATTGTTCTGCATGGAAATAAGTTAAAACTGCAAAAAAATTCTGAGAAGCTTTTTAAATTTACTATCCTTGTTCACGTTATTCGCATAAGTGGTCCTACGCAAATGAATTGAGGATTTCACTTCTTGATTTTAAGCATTAAATTATTTATTTTTTACCATATTTGATAGAAGTTACTTAAAATTTTGAAAGCAGTGTGGAAAATCTCAAAATTTTCAAAGTTTTTATGGTTGCTCAATCATTCGTTTCTTCATTCCATCGTACAAAGATGAGATTCTTGCCAGTCATAGGTCAAAAAAAAAAATGTATTGACCGAATGAAACTGAGGAAGAAATGAGAAAAGAAACAGTTTTTTCTTGTTTTTTGGAATAGAGTTGGCGTCAGTTAGCAACCTGCGTCGTCGTAATGATTCATTTGTTGTAAATAAACAAAAGTCTCAAATTTTCAGTTATCGAAGGCTGATTCAGATATATTGTCTGTGATTGCAATCAAAACAAAAGAGGAGAAAAAGAATGAATCTATCGAGAGAAAATTATCCGATCTAGAATCAGATATGTCGTAGGTTTTTTCTAAGTTTATCGGCTTTGCAACCAAGCATAAACATCTCAACAAATGTCTTGAAACTATGAAAAAATTGAAATGAAGTTCATAAACTTCATAACTGTCATACAGTTTAAAATCCTTGCGTTCCAAATTTCAAACAACGGATAGAATCTTTTTAGATTGCATTCAGAATTATAGTTTATCGCTTGAAAAAACTGATTTTAGGTAAAATTTAGGTGCTTATAAAGATATACAAAAATTTTTATTTAAAATATTTGTACAACTGTAAATTCATCTTTCGAAATATATATTGCATTATTTAACAGTTAAAAAATTTTTGTCTTTCTTTGCTGCAGAAAAAAAAAAAAAAGAAGGAAAGAATTTTGGTTGGCTTAACATTAATAGGCAGTAATATAAAATAAAAGCTATTATCAGACTGAGCTCAAGATGGAATAATTTGCCTTAAAAAATGTATCTTAACAAAAAAATACTTTGTTAATTATTTCTTTCGATATAAATTATCACTTATAAGAAACATTTAATACTTTTTTTAGTACTAAAACAGATAAAAAAAAATTTTTTTAAATTTACTGAATTGATATGTATTGGATCATGTTTTTCAATAGTTTATAGTTTTCCCATTTTATTTCTTAAAAGCAGCAAAGAATATTCTATGAAGATTTTATATACAGACAAACTCACCGGGTTATTCAGAACTGTGTACTTTTTTTTTACTACTTGAAAATTTTTTAAAATTTTGTTGATTAGAGGACTTTGGGCTCGGTTTTGGAAGGATGAGTTTTTATTGAGGTAACTCCTCATTAAAATTATAGCAAATGCTAAGTTTTTATTCTTCAGTTTTGCCTTTCACGGCTTTGTAGTTCACATCATTCTTAAAAATAATTGCGGGTTTTGGCATTCTATACGCAGTCTGCAAAATAAATACATGCTTAAACACAATAAAAACAAAAATTTAAAGTTTATTATGGAAAAAAAAATGTTTATTTAAATGTTAAACTTACGTTGTGCAGAATTTTGTTATTCCTAAAATAGTAAAATTTGTTGATGCATTTCTGTCATAGGAAAATGGTGGGAGCTGGAAAACAGTATGAAACTGGTAATATTTCATTTTTGTAATACTTACGGCAATTTTAGCGAAAGAGTTATCAAGAGCTGTAGTACCACTTTTAAAAAATTGATTTTTATTCCAAAAATCAGTTATTTTTTAAACTTTTTGTGATATTTATTAGTACCGTTGCTTAATGATGCTCTTTACAAGAAATATGCTTCACTTTGGATGTTGCAGTTTAGCGAAGTTTTTAAAAAACAGAAGCTATTGAAAGACAAGTTACATATCTTCAAACTAATGATTTTTTGTTGAAAACATTTTTTCTACAAATTTTCACCAGTCAAAATACTTGATTTTGATATCGCATATCTTGCTGCTGTTCTATAGACACCAAGGTCGACGGCAAACTGTATATCTATTTGGACGATTGTAAGTGAGCACAAGATTTATTCAACAAAATAAGAAAGCCTACTGTAGGTCATATAATAGTGGTTAGTAAATATCTTCCTACAGAATGCAATTTTCAGAACAAGTATTGGAAAACTTAGGCATACCAATTTTGGTGCTAGTTTTCTTCGACTTTCAGGAGCAGATAACATAGCTAACAATGATTTTAAACCTTGTAAATTTATACGGTTACTGTAACCATAGTAGGTTATAGCTGGTCTGAAACTGCTTTCCAGAGTGCGCTTCTTGAAGCTGTCAGAAACACGTCACAGGATTTTGGTCGATTATAGAAGACCTTTCTAGAAAAGTTGAGAAATACCTTTTTTATTATGTACTGTGTTTTCTTCTGTTTTGTTTCTTTATTCGCGTTCTGTACAAAATTAGTACACCAAATATTTTTACAAAAGTAGAACGTACAGAAAATGCAGTAAACGAAAAACTTGAAAATTTTTTGAATTTTGTTAATTTTGATCTGTTTTAGAACAAAAAAACGTGTTAAAAAGGAGTTTCTTTAACACTTCTAATAAATATAGTATTATATATATTTATTTATACATGTCTAGACCGTTCAAACAAAATTTTAATTTAATTCGTGTGGCTGCTTTCCAAAAAACAAATTTCTATTTTTTCATCGTATCCCTGAATATATAACTGATTATAACCCATGACGAAAAAACAAATAAATAATTTTTGAGTTGACTGCGCTTTATATAACATTGTCTACTAACTTCACTAACTGCTTCTTTCTAAGCGTTTGAGTATCTTCAGAATCGTTTATCATTTACTGTAAAAAAGAATGTTATTTTAAAGAAATTTGTTTTGAAAAGTATTTTCCTGAAGACATAATTGATTTGAAACCTATTTTCAAGTGCTTTCAGCAATTCTTCAATGTCTAAAGAGTCTAAAGAGTCTGGAGTGTCACAGGAAAGCGCCAACTTCAACAAAATTTCTAAAAAAACTCCTGTAAGCGTTCTCTTGGTTAATCTTTGCAGTTATGGTTTTTAACTCTACTAAAAAATTTGCATAGCTTTTGTCTGGTTTTCTAGCCATACAAACCTTAGTAGTTCGGCAAATAACTCTAACTTGCTTTGTTTTATATTTTCGGCTATAGCCTGGTGAAGTAACCAAGAACAGCGTTTTGTCGCAGTTGCAGCAAGAAAGCGACGAACTTGAAGAAGAAAACAGGAAGAGTGAGTCTAAAATTGCTAAACTTGAAGACTCGAAATCACAACTAGATTCTCAGTTTGAGGTCAGTAAATGCTTTTTCAGTACTGGTTATTTATTTTAACTATTTGAATCAACCGTATGTAGTGCTTCCAATGATAAACACAATGTATGTCAGAAGTTTCAGGAAGTAAAAGCTGATAAAACTAAAATGGAAGCTCAAATTGCTCAATTAATTGAGGAACTCGCTGCGAGTAAAAGAGCCGTAGAAGAAAAGAAGCAACTGAACGACAAGAACGTCACTAAAGTAATTGTTACACTGTGTTCATCATTCATAGTTTTTTGGATTTTTTCAGACATTTAAATTAGAATTTTTTTATAAATTTATAAATATCAAATAGCAGAAGAAAGAAATAGAACCAGCAAAATGTTCGGTAAAATCAGTTTGGCTTTACTCCGAATTAAACTGGCGTCAAGTAGAACATTTTCAAAAACTCACACAGATGCTAAAGTAGAAAATAATAGAAGAACCTATATATATATATATATATATATATATATATATATATATAATATATATATATATATATATATATATATATATATATATAAACTAATATATATATATATATATATATATATATATATATATATTTATTTATTTGTTTATTTAATATATATATATATATATATATTTTATATATATATATATATATATATATATATATATATATGTATAGATGTGATACATATATTTATGCCTAAAATTATTTATTAAAATTTACTTATATATACATATATAGATAAATTAATATATTTATAATTATAATTATATTTGTATTTATGTTTTATATTACATATTTATATTTAATATGTTGCACAGTTCTTAAGCTTAAGATTTTTCTTTTCTATGACTAGCAGAGAAAACTGTTGAAAACTGTAGTTTGTAGATCAGAGAGGTTCAAAAAAAGCTTGAAAGCTTAGCAAAGGAGGAGAAAGAAGCGCTCAAGAAACAAAAAAGTTTAAAGCTCGATTTAAAACAGTTTGATCAGACCGCAACTAACTACGCCAGGAAATTATCGTCGATGGAGCAAAACAAAAATATATCACATTCTCCGCAAAAAGTACATCAAGGGTTTACAAAAAGTTGCTTGCATTTAAAATTTGATTACTAGTTGGATTTCTCTTCTAATTTTAAATAAAACACTTAATTATCTGTTAGTATTTTTCGCTCTAGAGATTATTGATTTAAGGCTACTATGAGCGCAGAGGAATTAAAAAGTAAAATTCAAGAAGCCGAAAAAGAGTTGAAAACGTTAAAAGAAGTACTGGCCAGGGTAAACGACAAGAACAGAATGGTTCGAACACAGCTGTCTACCGTGAAGCCATACTGTATGTTTCGTTCTTAGTTTCATCTTCAACCGCAGAAAATAATTGTTTTATCTTTTTTTTAAATGAAGATGTACGAGTGTAGATTTCTTGTAAAAGTTTAGCAATTTATATTCCCTTGTAAAGGCACTTTCAGGGAAAAGTTTTGGTGAGAAATGTCTGTTGACAATTTAGAGGGTACAAAGACATCAAGAGGGGAAATGGGGAAAGATGAGTAAAAAACACAGTGCTGGCAAGTTTACTCTTTTCTGGAGATGAGGCAAAGAGATTGAGGAAGAGCTAGTATACTGTGCGACATGTTTCGGATCTGATAACAAGAACTGAAGGTAGCATTTGAACAGGTTGCTTTTGCTTTATGTGGCCTGACAGTTAAAAGAGGATTCATGTTTCTTGATTATTCATGGAATTACTACATATTTTTACAAATATAACTTTCGGTTTCTTTAAGATTTTTACAAATACTCATGCTGTTTTTTTGACCTTTCTTGCTTCTTGTCGCTTTTTCTGATACTGTTCTGTATATCTTCACTGTAAGTCACTGTGATACTTCAGTTATATGAGGTCATAGGATGGTAAGGCGGTTTTTGTAACCGACAATCGATGAGAAAACACTAAAGCGTTTACTGCGGTTGCTTTGAAACCGTTTTTCATTGTACTGTGTGTTAGAATAAGGCTTCTTTAGTGGAAGAAGCAAAGAAATTCTGTTTATGGAGGAGATTCTTTGCGGGAAAAACTGTGATAAAGCACACAAGGTAGGGGTGCTTGAGTTGCCTTAAATAATGCACAGAAAGAAGACTATTATTAAAGTAACCGCTACCACGGTGTCGTTGTTCTTTTGAACTTTACTTTAACACATTTTCATCAACTTGGATATTGGATGCTGAATTTACCCTCATGACAACTTCTGGAGAAGGAAAGAAGGATGGGAAAGACAAAAAGTTAAAAGTGAAAAATA